TGTCTAATCAAAACCCCAAAACCCCAAAACCCCTCAAATTCAAATATAGCATCAAATAGAAGAAACTCTAAAGAATATGATTAATGATTTGAAATCTTTATTATAAGATATATAGCATAAATATAGAAGGTTAGTGATTAAGTTTTATGAAAAGTTTTTGATTAGACATTTATTCATTCAATACTAGCTGCTCATTGATTTTGGCTCTGGAGGAGGGTGTGAGCTTCTTTAACTTTCTGGGCTAAGCTGTTGTAATCTCTGAGATATGAATGAATCTCTGGAAGTGGGAGATCGATAAGCATACCGGTGATCTTTGGTGCATGGCTCTCACTTGAAAGCTTTTCAACGTAGTCATAGATGAACTCTCCAACTGCTGACTTGTAGTTGGGGTTTTGTGGGATAACTCCTGGTAGAATTCTGAAGGCCTCAGTTTGATATTGGACAATGTGTTGAGGTACTCCAATTTGTTGCATTTGTGGAGTCATCATTGGTGGTTGATTCTAGAATTGAGGTGGCATTTATTGAGGAGGCATCATTGGTGGTTGTTGTCTCATTTGTGGTGGGGCCATTCCTGGCATTTGTTGTTGCATGGGAGCACCTCCAACTGGTGGTCTTTGTTGCATTTGATTTTGAGGGTTGTTGTTGTACTGTCTGGGACCTCTTCCTCCCATGTTGTTTTGTCTGTTGCCTTGACCACCTTGTCTCATATTTTGTTGTTGACTTCTGAGGTTGATCATAAGGTATTGAATGAGCTAGTAGATTTCTGGCTTGTTGAGAATGTCTAAACTAAGTGCAGCTGGTGATTGCTTCTTGTAGCTTTGGAAGTCAGCCTTGTCTCTGGCATCCTCTTGTTGGATTTTTCTGACTTCTTTCAACTCGTAGTTGTTGATGTAGAGAAGCTTGTTGTTGAAGGTTTGAAGGTTGAGTTGTTGCTTGGCAAGAGCAGCACTGTCTGGGCTCTTAAAGCAGACGAAGGCGTAGAGTGATTCACCTTCCTTTGGTAGCATCTTAATGCTTTCAATGTCTCCATACTTTCCGAAAAGTTCTCTGAGTTCTGTCTCGGTGGTGGTTGGAGGGAAGTTTTTAACGTAGAGGTTGCATCTCTTCTTTGAGTTCTTGAATCTGAGTTGCTCTCTCTTTTTCTCTTGCTCTCTGTCGGTTTTCTTTAGTGCTTCCTTAACATATATCTTGTGTCCATCGAATTCAACATCATTCAACTCTTGGACAGCTCTTTGAGCGCATTGGATGCCATATTCCTTGTTTACTGGATCCTCATAGCAGATGAAAGCGAATGGAGCAAGAGTACCTTCTGGTTAGCCTGGAACTTAAGCTTTCATTGTCACTAAACTCTTAATTGTTCCATATTTGCCGAATAAATCTTAAAGAGTGGCTTGATCCCATGTCTCTGGGAAGTTCTTAACATAAATGTTATTGAATCCCTTTCTGACATCTCTTCTGTCCTTTGGTTAATAAGGTGAGATTTCAATTCCCATGCCTTCACCGAGATTAAGAGCTTCAGCAGCAAGTTCTGGGGTTCTGAAAAGAACGAATCCATAACCTCTTGATGAGTAGTCTTCATTGATTGAGACCTTGGCGGTATGGACAGCACCGTTTCCGAGGGCTTCAAGGAATTTTTGTTCAAGCACTTGTGAGTTAGTTGCTTTGTCAATTCCCTTTATGAAGACATTGCTCTTGTTAGTGTTGGCTCTGTTGGCAGCTTGGAGCTCTTTGGTGTATGGGAGAGCTCTGCATGGCTTTCCATTGATGTCGAAGTATTTCAAGGCTTGGCAGACTTCCTTGAATTTGTCCATTTCATTGATCTTAACAATGGCAGTATAGAAGGGTTTGTTTGGGTCTCTTCTGATTTGGGGAGGCTCGTTGATGTCTAGTTTGGTGAGCTCCTTAATCTTGTTGGCGATAAGAGTAGAGGTAGTAATCTCCTTGGGTAGGTCGTATAGATAAAGTAGGGTTTTATCTTGCATTTTTTTTTGTTTTTTGTTTTTGGAAATGAAAAGATTTTGTTTTTGTTATTATTTAATAATATAATTCTATAGGATGAGGGAGTTAATATATAGTAGTAAATAGGCGCTACAAGCAAAAATTCTGAATTAATTTTAACTTAAATTATTTGGTTATCTCCTACTACAATTTCATTTTATTTGTTAATTTATTCATTTTACTGAGGATAACATGCTTTAGGGGTTTTGGGGTTTTGGGGTTTTGGGG